ATTAAAATGCTTCATTTAATTTTCATACAGTGTACTGTATAAATTATATATCGATTAGGCCCCACACATGTATGAAACTGAACAAGGTTAATGAAAGTGGAACGCGTTCCACAAACGCCCATTCCAAATATAAAGTATACATTTTGTTTATAAATAATACGGTTATATTTTATGTAGATTCATTTATGTTATACGGTATAACTTACATATACCACATACATGCAAAACTTGACATCAATACATGTTAAAATGACATGTTCACTATGAAGGTTATATTATAGATTCTGTTGGGATTATAATATAAAGCTCTAACGTGGTATTATAATTAGTTTTTGTCAAATAGAAATACATTATAATAATACAGTTTAAAACAGCGGGTGTTGGGAAAAGTCATTGATATAGTTTTCAAATTAAAATAATATAACTACAATTTTTTATATCTTATTTTCGGTTTCACTGTTTTAACATGTGTATTGTTAATATACATGTATGTAAATATATTTATCAATTAACTATATTGTGTACTAACTTATTAAGTATTAATATACCCATAATAATAAACATGTTAGAATATAAATTATTTATTTATTTATGCGTAAAATAATTTAAATATTTATTGTTATTTATAAACTATTAATTAATTGATAAATGTAAAAATGTAAATTATATATTTATTTGCGTTGTATGTAATATTTTAATGTTATTATTTTTGTCACAGTGAAAAATTTTCAATTATACAATGATGAATAAAAACTGTGTTCACTGGACTAATACCTCGGGTAAAATACAACCACCCGGTGATGTTAAGTGTCATCTAAGGATTGTAGTTATATATTCGGTGGTATGCGTTTTTAAATGTTTATCACATCATTGTGTATAACCTTATTGCATTTTTATTTGAAACTATTGCCTATTTTTGTTGATCAATAGATCCGTCATTTAAATGAAACTTCATATGAATTATGCGATGAATATTCGGTTATTATTCACCTGCTATTGAAATACTTGCAGTGCAGGTAAAGTTTTATCATTATTATTTATATTAATTCATGAACATAATAATTATTATTAATTATTACAGTATTTTATTAACTATATTCAGTAATTATAATAAATATGTTATCTTTCAATAACTAGTGTTGAATTAATTTCACCCCGTCATAAGACAGGGGGTGTTTTACATACCAATGGCAGCTGGACTGGTATTATGGCCGATATAAATGATAATGTAAATATTGTTTAATTAAATCATAATATAAGCACACTGTAAACTAGCACATTTCTAATGCAGCTTGTTGATCTTCCGGCCATTGCTATGGTGTACACTAACGATAGACTTTCCATTACTGAAGCAATATATCCCATATTAATGGGAAATTTGATCACGATATTATCGGGTGAAATATCCGAGCCGAGCAAATATATAACCCTGTTCAGCTCATTTCTCGTATCAACGTGGTTGGTTATATTAGCAACATTTTTAATATGCGTAACAATTACCATAAAAACAACAAATAATAAACGCAAACTTCCTATTATCAAGATTATTGTTGATGTGATTTTTGATTACCTATTATCACTTTTGGGTAAACGTAAGTACCATGATAAATTAAATTATTAGCTATTGATAGTATTATTAATTAAATTGCTCATAACTTATTACTAATAAGTGCAAATTAAATAATTTTTAAAAAATGAAATGTTACTTTATTTATAGCAATCCTAACTAAATATTTGACTACTGGTCGCCTACCAAGATTAGCATTTATTTTGTGGCTTATAAACTGTTTGTACTGGATCATATTGTTTATCAGCAAATTCCTATCAAGCCTGGCAAACATACCGTTATCTACAATCGATAGTATCGATGATATTGTATCGATAAATCGTGAGCTATCCGTAATGATAGGGAAAGAGGGCTGGGCTTATAATGCTTTCCTAAAGGTAAATCTAACCTGGCATCATTTTATAATTACCTTACAGATACTTACTGTTATATAACATTACAAGATTTATCAATACTAAATATAACTACACTATTAAAGCATTTGCGAATATGTTAATAGTATATTTCTAATTGACCAGGATAATTATCCCAATTTCAAATACGAACACAACTATGACGTGAATTCATTGAAAACATTGGAGCCATTGATTGCCGGCAAAGCTGTGCTCATCGAAGACGAGCCCGTTATTGAAGATATCGTCGCCCTTAACCCCACACTACCTCTCCATAAGGCACGCGACAACTCAATGCTGGCCGTCGGCGGCGTTTTCATCCGCCGGGGCGTCGATCCCTGGATTAAACATCAATTGAAACAAAAGTGAGCATGGTTAATTTGTTTTATGTTTTTTAATAAGGTTAATTATCATTTAGATTAACCCTAATGGCAGAGTCAGGTCTACTATTATGGCGAACGAGAGTTAATAAAATCATTGCCAAAACTGAAGAGTTGGTCCGTTCGGACATTTACTATAAAATTAATATACATCACAATACAGACACCGTTCACACCATAAGAGTTACCGATATCTATATATTTTTTAACATTTATGCTTTTGGCATAACGTCTGCCGCCTTATCATTAGTATTAGAAATTTGTTGGAAATGTGTTTACAGGATATTATAATATAAATGATTTTTGTAAAAAATACTTTAATCGAAAATTTATTTAATTGATATAATTTGTTTGAATAAATAATAATATTATTATTATGTACAGTAACTATAACAAATAAATTAACGTAAATAAATAAATAAAAGTTTATAGTAATATGTTTTAAAATCTTTAACTTCATAATATATCTGTACAGCATTATCGTTATGGTCAATTTTAAACTATTGCTACATTCCCAGCTGAAATTCACATTATATTATACTAAATACTTAAAATCAGAAAATGAATTAATTGTTTCTTAACAAACGTGAATGTGTTATCATTTTTATATTGTCAATTATAATCAATTTAATAGAGCTATCTCGTTTATGATACCTACAATTCTACATTATCATTATGATATAAACGCTTGTGTAAGTCATAAATAATCTTAATGTACATTATATTAAGTCTACGAAACCAATGGTGATTATTAATCACTGATTAATATAATGAAGTGTTGATAGTATTGCAGAACAGATATAATTGTTATTTCAAACACATATAATGTTAAATGTTTTAGTTTTATAGTATGTATTGACGTGTACTTTGCGTCTATTAATACTGTAAATTGTTATACGGTTTTAGTCATGTATTATTACTTACTGATTGATATTTTGCATGACTCGCAGTAGTTATACCATGTTAAAATCTAATTGTGCCAATGTGCCTTGATAAATAAACTAATCACTGACCACAATCGTTTGTTTCAATTGATTTAATGTTTTTGTTGACAATAATATTTAAATAATTAATTAAAAGTAATTAATTGACGTCTATATGGAGTGTTTTTAACGCGTAAACAATGTCTTCGTTACTAAAAAAGCTAAAAATTTGCGACAAAATACCGGAAACGAGTAAAACATGCATTAAATACATGCATGTGTTTAAAGAAGTGCCCGAAAACGGTACTAATTTTGACGGCAATAACATTATATACGTTACGGCCGACGATCGAGTGTACGGCTGCGGCGATAACTATTGGGGATCATTAGGGTTGGGCCACAACCAGCCGGTGCCGGACCCCCAGCCTATACCGGAGCTGTGCAATCGGGGTATACAGAGGTTTGTGAACGGCTGGAGCTTTGTTTTGGGCGTCACTGGCAGCGCATCGGTGTTCAGTTGGGGCGACAACCGGTGCGGACAGTTGGGCCGCAAAGATATACAGGCGGCGAAAAAAGGGCGCAAATATTATAAACCCAAACAAATACCGTATTTTTTGGCTATGGATGTGAGCGCCGGGTCGGGTCACGCGCTAGTTGTCAATCGTTACGGCCAGGTGTTGGGCTGGGGTGCCAACAAGCATGGTCAATTGGGTCATAACAGGTCCCACGTTAACTCTCGTCCAGTGCTGGTAAACTTTTTCAATAATGATAAAATTAGTGCCGTTTACTGTTACGTCTCATCATCATTCGCGATCACCATGGGCGGTTTTGTATACAGTTGGGGCCACAACAGTAACTACCGGCTGGGTCATGATAAAATGCCTAATCTATCACAGCCGACCATGCTCATGAACATGTTTAGCATCAAGACAGTTTGTTGTTCGCAATACATGACATATTTTCTTACAAACAATGGTTATATGTATTTTTGTGGCCAATACAGCGGTAGGGCTCCCGGCGCCGAGTTCAGGCAAATCTACCCGGTGCTTTTGCAAAATTGCTACGAGATCCAGGATATGCCCAGGATCGATTCGGATAAAAGTTTTCCGTTTATTACTATAATGAGAGATAACCGGGTGTTTGAATTAATGAAGACTAATGAATGGATTGAAACACAGTATAAAAGTTTTGTCGACTTTTACGCCCACGAGTGGAGTATTACATGTAATACCGTTGATGTCTACGAGTATGAGCTGATGGCCAGCAAATATGTACATGGTGTTACTGATGTTGTGCACACTCAAACTAGTAAGTCAAAAATATAACTAGTATCATTATTAATTTAATCTTTATAACCCTGTTTAATAGAAACAACTGCTGTTTATAATTCTACGAGTAGTTATAATGCAAATAGTAATACAAGTAGTAATAATTCAAATACCCTGGTAAATTGTGAAAATCATTTTGACGGTTACGCCACAGAGAAGAGTTTACAGGTTTATGAAGGTAACTAAAAATAAATTCAAGTAAAATTATAATAAATAGAGATTATGTAACTTTATTTATGCTATGTATAGAAAACCCGGTGAAAGTGACAGAAAGTTATTGCGATAAAACATTTGAAGAGTTGGACATGGTTGGTTTTGGTGGTTTTGGGGCTGTGTTTAAGGTCCGGCACCGACTCGAGGACCGAATATATGCCATCAAACGAATACAATTTACCGGTTTATTTTTTTATCAATTAGATTGCAATTATATATTATATAAATTATTTATTTACATATTTCCTCCAACATATAGACAGACCATTTAAAGAGAAAATGCTAAACGAGTTAAAAAGTCTGCTTAACTTGCGATCAGAATACGTGGTCTCGTATTACAACTCATGGCTGGAAAGCGATTGCCTATACATACAGACCGAGTACTGCCCGCAGAGTCTCGCAAAGGTTTTGGGAGACAAACCCATGGCGTTTGGCCGGCGATCGGCGGCCGGAAATACAATGGATTCGTACGAGTATTTTATATCATGTGAAATATTCAAAGAGGTGCTACAATGCGTGCAATATCTCCATGAATTGACTCCAGCGGTAATCCATCGAGATCTCAAACCGGGCAACATTTTAATATCGGTCAATAGCGGGAATGGTAGATTTATCAAACTATGTGATTTTGGTTTGGCCACAGTTCACGATGGGTTGGCCACTGCCGAGAGACACACCACGGGTTTGGGCACCTCTGCCTTTATGGCCCCTGAGGTCCTACAGTCCAGCCATTACAACCATAAGGCAGATATATATAGCCTATCGGTTACGGGTACACAAATATTTGATGTGGATTTACAAACGTATGTTTTATTATTTTACCTTAAGTTACAATATAGTTGTTTATATTTATTTCTAAAATAGTATATAAAAATTATTCTGTAATACTGCTAAAGCTTTATTTATTTTATATATGAAATACAGGTTTTTTCTTTTAATTTAGTCTCATATACAGTATTATGTGCTCTATGTCTATGAGTTGAACAGTAATTATATTAATTGTTTTTATTATTTATTTTTAGATCTCAATCATTTATGTGTAGAAACGATGCGTTGAGAAATGCGTTCATTAATTTATATAAAACATTGAATGCAATGATGTCAACACCCGATTGCAAAACACGGCCAGAATGTAGTGAAGTGTTGGCTAAATATAACGACTGGTCTATTGATAAGAATATTCTATTGAATGCTAAAGAATATGATTCTGTATTAAATCGACTGAAAACTTGTGAGAATCAGTTTTTCTACGAATATTTATTATTAAAATGTAAAATATAAAAATACAATTCTAGATTATTTTATTTAAGTACTAAACAATAATGTTATTTTTATCTGCTGTTTATTAACCAAAAATGATGTATAAATATTATTAACCATAAATATATAAAGTGTATATGCATAATTACAAGTATAATTAAACTATGGATTCCTAAAGATATTATTTTTTAAACGTAAAAGATGATAGTTTATGATTTTAAGATGATCATTAGAAAATTTACATAAAATATAATTACTTAAGGTAAGAATTAATTTTCATTTAAATGTGGGTTTAATAAGATATTAACACTTGTATTTGAAATAATGGTTGAATTAGAGATTTAATTTAACAATAAATCGAGACTCGATTATCGAGTTATAATATAAGATAAAAGTTGGACAAATATAGTAATATGCAAATAAGTAGTTAAGTTTTTAGTAATTAAGACATAAATATGCAACTAGTTCACCTGATTAAATCCACAAGTTGGGTTTCTAGCAATTCATAAACAAAATACTTTTAAAAACGATCATTTGACGCATTACACATGTTATGATGTTATCAATGTTTTTGTAACTATATTTTAATTAATTATATTTTTTAGTTTATCTGATTTAAATTTTTTAAAAAAGCAATTATATTTATTTTATGTGAACAAAATCAAATTTATTGAAATGGAAAAACACATTTGAAAATAATATCAAGGACACTATTGATCCACCCATATTTATATCATAGAAAATTAATTACTTATTTATCATATTATATGTAAATTTAATTTAAATTAAATCTTAATTTAAGATTATTTTTGTCAATGACATTAAACTAACTATTGCTATGCTTTATGTGTGATTATACTTAAGCAAAAGTAACCTTTAAATGGGATTAGTTATATCATGCATACACTTCTAGCATTTACATATGTAGTGTTAACTCTCTCTCTCTCCCTCTCTCTCTCTTCTTTTCTTTTAAACATAAAACTTTTATAACATTTAAATATTTTAAGAAAATATTATTGCGATTATAATAAAATACTTATAAATAAAATCATAACAAATCCTTGAGATTATAGACGTGGAAAACACCCCTTAGATACTAAATATAACACATTAAATATCATTGGCCTCCAAATTAAAGGGTATATAAACTCTATCCCATCTCTCGGACTAAACATATCATTCAATAACTCGTTTAGTCTTTGAATTGAAAGTGCATTAATCGGTGCCATAACTCTCAACATGAGATCGTTTGCAGTAATCGTATT